TTAAGGAGTTATTGATATTTCAAGTGCAAAATGATGATATAAAACCATGATAAAAATGCACTTTTAAGTACTAATCAGCGCATTACTGATGTGCACTGTTCACACCGCCTAAAAGGACTTCCCAGCATTGTTATGGAGTTTTGAGGGGTTATTTTGTAATTTTTAAACTGTTTAATGTAATATTTGTTTAGTTTGAGTTTTTTATTTGTATTTTGTAAATACAAAAAAAACAAAAAGAAGAAAAAGAAAAGAAAAGGAACATATAGGGAAAGTACATGTGTGTGCTTGTATTTGTCTTATAAATTTTTTATTTATTTATTTATTTATGATAAAATTGCAGAGAATAAAGAAGAATTTAATATTTTGATTGGATCACGGTGTAGAAGTACAAACTTGTGCGGAAGTTGTATTTCTAAAATCCGATGAAAAGACAAAATTTATAAAACTTCTTTAACACATCAAGTCCATGAAGCAGCTTACCTCAGGTAGGGTGCATTAGGGGTGCTAATACCTTCCCTAACCACAACCGGTCCCTTACCCGCGAATCTTTGACAAGACCAGTACAACCGGGTTTCCTAGTAACCTTCAATTAAATACTAGGTGGCGACTCCTAACGAATCCAACAAGATCAAATCAAATAATAACGGTGAAAAATTGCCGGAGCCGACGCCGCGCGGAATTTTTTTTTTTGACATGCGACAGCAAATGCCTCCTTTTATAGGCCAAAATTGGGAACCATTGATTTGATAACTAATTGATGAGTGGGTGGCCAACTCTTGACTTGGTTACAGTTCTTATATTCTCTTATCTGTTCAAAATATCATTGATAACGTTAAAATTGTAACCACTTGAAATATGAAAGTTATAGGAAATTGTCTTAGTTTTTAATAGTAAAAAATTGAGGTAATTTAGACTTCTAGAACTCTAGATATGGGCCAAACACTAAACAGTACTCGACCGGGAGGACAAATTTAGACTTCTTTATTGTTGCTACAATTTGGACTTGAAAATGGCTTTTTCATGTCTTGGGCTCTATATGAAAGTTGTAGGCTTATGTCTTATCTTTTGATCCATATAAAGTAGTTCTAAATCCGAGATCTATAGCTCCCGATATGACCTAATTACTGAATAGTATTACGGTTTGGACTACATCGTCATCTTTTTTCTAAGTTTAGTCATCTCTTTGTCCTTTCAATTTCGATTCTTAAATCCATCAATCAATCCTTTCATTTATGTGATAGGCCTGCATTTAAAATAAATATTTACCACAAATTAAAGGTATCTTATATTATTAGATATGTTATTATAAAATATGCTTTAGTTCAGAAATTATTAATACTTCAAGTGCAAAATGATGATATAAAACCTTGATAAAAAATGTATTTTTAAGTACTAATAAATAACTTACTCAAATAAATTCAAAAATACTTTATTTAAGTAAGAATCTTAATTTTTCATGCTTACCAATCTAAGTTCTCCCAACTTCTCTTCTCCTGTTAGTGTTCGACCCTCCTCTCCTTTCTTCTATTTCCTTCATTTAATTCTTCCTTAATTTAATGTTTTACCTCTATCAATCTTTTAATTTTTTTGTTTTTTTGGGTCGGGATGGACCCAGCCCATATTTTTTTGGGTCGCGATGGACCCAGCCCATACTCTTAGGTTGGCCCAACACTGGCCCGACCCATATGCAATTGCAGAACGTGAATAGTGGTTCACATTCTGCATGTAACCGAAATGGTTGTTGGTGGCAGCGGTTGGCGTAGTGACGGAGGCAAACTTGTAGAGGAGAAGCGGCTTTTGTCATCGGCTGATGTTAAATCAGCGAAGGTGCTGGTAGAAGAAACAGTGGCCTCAGTTGACTGCGGTGGTGGAAGAAAACGAAAAAAGCAGGGAAGAAAATCTACAGGGTGGAAGAAAACAAAAGAAACGGGGAAGAAAACCTCGTGGTGACTCCTAGCTATTGGTTGGTGGCTTAATGTGGTGGAACTAGTGGTGGAGAAACTGTTTATGGCTTCGTTTGGTGGTTGGAATGGCAGAGGGAGAAGAAAAGAAAAAAATTGCAGAAAATCGGGCAGAGAGGGGCTGGTTTTTGGTCGACTTTGGACCCGATTTTCTCATCTCTCAGGCCATCAAATCCACCTCTATTTATAAGCGGTGGAGGAGGGCAATCTTGTCTACTCTGGAGTAAAATTTCAGCCCCTTGATTCTGTTGGGAAGAATCCTAACCATTGGTTCAAAGTAGGCATGATGCACTGTCAAATCTATCAAAAAAGCTGCCTGAGTTGGCATGTTTAGGCCAGATTCTATGCTGATGGACTGTCATTAGGATTGAACTATTCACACCATGATGTAGAGGAACAGCAGATGATCATTTTCGTGCAAGTTTGGTTAAATTTGTGGACGTTTAGTGCATTAAATGTACCTGCAAAGTAGGTTGTCGAACAGCTCTAACCGGGTAAAAGAAGAAGACATTGAACAGTGACCAAATGACACTTTATCTGGTCCTCTCTCTCTCTCTTTTTTGTTAAACGGTGCCATTTTGAACTGAAATAGGGAATTTTACTAAATTTCAATTGAGTCCTTTTTCTTTCCATTTCTTTTAATTGAACCCTTAATTAACTCTAAACTTCAGGTTTAATGCAATTAAGCCCCTCCTAAACTTCAATTGGGATCCTGCAGTTACGCGCCTTTTATAATATGATCCTTGGTCTTGGAATTTGTCAATTTAACATCTAATTAACCATTAAACTTTTAATTTCTTTGATTTAGCTCCCGATTTTTCTCAATTAAGCCCCTAAAGTGTCGCGCCTCTTGCAGATTGGTCCTTGAATGTGAATTTTGTCAATTTAACCCCTAATTGACCCAAAAACTTGAATTTTCTTGCAATTTTACCCCTGATTTCAATCAATTAACTTGGTAAAAATTAAATTTGGTCTCTTAAAATTTCAATCTTTTCAATTAAGCCCAAATTAAGCTCCCAAACTTAATTTTTCACCAATTAAGCCACAAATAAAATTAATTTGACCCATTTAAAGTATAATTAAGTCTTTGCACTTAATTAAATCATTCAATTGGACCCAAATTAATTCTTAAACATAATTAAAATTTGATTTGGCTCATGATTAAATCAAATTGGCCTATTAAAAATTTAATTACATCATTGGACTTAATTTTTCACTAATTAAGCCCGAAATAAAATTAATTTGACCCTTTTAAAGTATAATTAAATCATCGCACTTAATTAAATCCTTCAATTGGACCCAAATTAATTCTTAAACATAATTAAATTTTAATTTGGCCCATGATTAAATCAAATTTGCCTATTAAAAATTTAATTATATCATTGGACTTAATTTTTATGCAAATTTATTCAATAATCATTTAATTTGACTTTCAATTTGTATTTTTTATCCGTTCTTGGGCATAATGGGGTACAATTAGGCCTTGAATTTCCTTCAAAAATTGCAGCTTGATTTTCCGGCCTGCTTTCTCCATGTTGCCAACCATTAGTTTATTTTTTTATTTTTATTTTGAAAAAAAGTAAATTTTTAGGGAATAACTGATTGATACTTAAAAGTATATTTTTATCAAGGTTTTATATCATCATTTTGCACTTAAAGTATCAATAATTCCTTAACTAAAGCATGTTTTATAATAATATATCTAATAGTATAAGAAATCTTTAATTTGTGGTAAATGTTTATTTTAAATGCAGGCCTATCACATAAATGAAAGGATTGATTGATGAATTTAAGAACTGAAATTAAAAGGATAAAGAGATGACCAAACTTAGAAAGGAGATGTCGGTGCAATCCAAACCGGAACACTGTTCAGTCATATATGGAGATATAGATATCAGATTTAGGTTTACTTTATATGAATGGAAAGGTAAGACATAAGCCTATAACTTTCATGGAGCCCAAGATTTAAAAAGGTTATTTTCAAGTCCAAATTATTGCAACAATAAAGAAGCTCGAATTTGTCCTCTAACCCGAACACTGTTCAGTATTTTGGCTATATCTAAAGTTCTAGAAGTCGAAATGAGCTGAATTGTTTACAAAAGAAAGCTGAGACAATTTTCTACAACTTTCATGTTTTTAAAGGGCTCCAATTATGACGTTATCAATGACGTTTTGGGTAGACAAGAGAAGATAAGGATTGTCACCAAGTCAAAAGTTGGCCACC